CTCTCTGATGCTTACTCTCCCCCTCCCACCCCCTCCTCCCCAGAGCCCCCAATACCCACCTGGTACCCCCTCTACCCTCCTGAACATATATGAAAAATTCAGAGCAAGTTTAGTCCTGGGAAAAATGTGGAATACATGAATTTAGATGTATTGTCTTGTGTACCCTCCGTCCCTGAACATAGAAAGAGAAGGAGGACCCTTCCATCAGCAAATTAGTGGCAGAATTTCCGGTCAGAGAGAAGAAAATGTATGAGGTAGGCAGACCTTTTGTTGATTAATGGCTTGAGACCACATTACAGAAGCAATTGCCTACTTGACCTGTTAATCAAGATAGGGAAACATTTTATAGCAGCAATGACCACAATAGCCAAACTGTGGAAAGAGCCAAGATGTCCATCGACAGATGAATGGATAAAGAAAATGTGGTATATATACACAATGGAATATTATGCAGCCATCAAAAGGAATGAGATCTTGCCATTTGCAACGACGTGGATGGAACTGGAGGGTGTTATGCTGAGTGAAATAAGTCAATCAGAGAAAGACTTGTATCATATGACCTCACTGATATGAGGAATTCTTAATCTCAGGAAACAAACTGAGGGTTGCTGGAGTGGTAGGGGGTGGGAGGGATGGGGTGGCTGGGTGATAGACATTGGGGAGGGTATGTGCTATGGTGAGTGCTGTGAATTGTGCAAGACTGTTGAATCACAGATCTGTACCTCTGAAACAAATAATGCAACATATGTTAAGAAAAAAGAAAAAGAAGAAGATAGCAGGAGGGGAAGAATGAAGGGGAGTAAGTCAGAGGGGGAGATGAACCATGAGAGACGATGGACTCTGAAAAACAAACTGAGGGTTCTAGAGGGGAGGAGGGTGGGGGGATGGGTTAGCCTGGTGATGGGTATTAAAGAGGGCACGTTCTGCGTGGAGCACTGGGTGTTATGTGCAAACAATGAATCATGGAACACTACATCAAGAACTAATGATGTAATGTATGGTGATTAACATAACAATAAAAAATAAAAAAAGAAATGCAGATGAAGCTAAAAAAAAAGATAGGGAAACATTTGTCTTTGAGCAATACATTTTAAGATTCTTCAGACTTCCTGCATATTCCTTAGCTTCTTCCAATCACAAAGATTTCTCAAAGCAAACTTAGGGGGCAGGAGTGGTAGTGATAAAATTATAGGTTTTTCTTTGCTACCCAGAAACTTCTAAATGCAGGCTGTTCCTGAAGTTAAGAGATAATTCTAAACTGGGAAATACAGTGTGTGAGGACAAGGACAGCAGGAACACTTGCTAATAAGTGGCAGACTCTATTCTTCCTCTTGTCATTTGCTGCAGAAACATGAATCATGACCACATCTTTCCAGATCAGGGAGGGCCTCAGAGTCACCCATGGATGCTCCAGGGCATGCTGACATGTGCCTTGTCAGGTGACCTGAGCATGACTGTGAGCTGTCCAAATGCTCTTTCCCTACTTTTAGGGCACCGAAATGGAAAAATCCCAAGAAAATACTGCAGTGGAGTTTAAGACTCCTAGTCCCGGTTTCCTTAGCTGCTTCCTATGGGATAAAAAGAGTTGGAGAATGCTAATGGAAGTGTCATAAGTGGAAGCAATAGGTAGATAAACATGAGATAATATATTTCAGGACAGAAGTCATGAGGGATGGAGTGGGAGGACTGAGGGGTATATTTCCCCTTCTCCATCCTTCCATCCTTGCCCCAAGTTGCTCAAGAAGTAACAAATCTCAAAGGTGCAAATATGTCAGTATACTTTGTCTAAGAAAATATTACTCAGCTTTTGATTCTAGGTAGTTATGATCCTTCAAATAGGATAATCTTGTAAAAATGTTCAAAATATAGATGAGCCATAGAGTATGACCCATCAAATCCTTCATTAGGAAACCTCAATGAGATATCACCTCACACCAGTCAGAATGGCTAAAATTAACAAGTCAGGAAATGACAGATGTTGGCGGGGATGCGGAGAAAGGGGAACCCTCCTACACTGTTGGTGGGAACGCAAGCTGGTGCAACCACTCTGGAAAACAGTATGAAGGTTCTTCAAAAAGTTGAAAATAGAGCTACCATACGATCCAGCAATTGCACTACTGGGTATTTACCCCAAAGATACAAACGTAGGGATCTGAAGGGGTACATGCACCCCAATGTTTATAGCAGCAATGTCCACAATAGCCAAACTGTGGAAAGAGCCAAGATGTCCATCGACAGATGAATGGATAAAGAAGATGTGGTATATACACACAATGGAATATTATGCAGCCATCAAAAGGAATGAAATCTTGCCATTTGCAACGACGTGGATGGAACTGGAGGGTATTATGCTGAGTGAAATAAGTCAATCAGAGAAAGACATGTATCATATGACCTCACTGATATGAGGAATTCTTAATCTCAGGAAACAAACTGAGGGTTGCTGGAGTGGTGGGGGGTGGAAGGGATGGGGTGGCTGGGTGATAGACATTGGGGATAGTATGTGTTATGGTGAACGCTGTGAATTGTGTTAAGACTGTTGAATCACAGACCTGTACCTCTGAAACAAATAATACCTCATATGTTAAAAAAAAAGAAGAAGATAACAAGAGGGGAAAAATGAAGGGGGGAGATCGGAGGGGGAGATGAACCATGAGAGACTATGGACTCTGAAAAACAAACTGAGGGTTCTAGAGGGGAGGGGGTTGGGGGGATGGGTTAGCCTGGTGATGGGTATTAAAGAGGGCTCGTTCTGCGTGGAGCACTGGGTGTTATGTGCAAACAATGAATCATGGAACACTACATCAAAAACTAATGATGTAATGTATGGTGATTAACATAACATAATAATAAAGAGATCTATAGGTTTTTAAATCAACAAAAAATTATTGAACTCCCCAATTCATTTTGCAAAGCAATCACAATTTTAATCTCATGATCTTCACTAAGAACTAAAACAGAAAGAAAGCTTTAGATTATTTTCATTTTAGAGGTAAGTACAGGATTTTTAAATAAAAATATTAGTCGATAGACTAGTTGCTAATCCAGTTGATGGAGTCTTAAAAAGGGGACGGGAAAGGAAGAGGTGAGTAGAAAAACATTAAAGAGAAACTCTGCTCATGTCATTATTTTAGACTAAAGCAGGCCCTAGTGAATTAAGTGAAACAATGAAATCTAAGAAGGCTGCAGAAAACTCTGAAGCTATGTTATCAAAAATGCTAGTAGTGGTAAGAAAAGGAAATTTGAATGCCAAATACTGATATATCTTTATGTCAGTGTCTACTTTCCTATATGGAAATGAGAGCTGGATAAAGTAGCTAAGTATAAATGAATCGATGGTATTTAAGAGGTAGTGTGGTGCAGTTTTAGTAATAAGGATACCTGAGATCCACCCCAGTTCAGCTAATAATTTGCTATGAGACCTTAGAGAAGTCACTTGACTTCTCCGTGAAATGAGGTAGTTAGTTGATTTAGATCAGCACTTATCAAACTTTAATCTGCATATGAACCACTTGGAGATTTTGTTGAAATGTGGTTTCTGGTTCAGTAGGTCTGGGGCAGGCCTGAGATTTCACATTGCTAATAAGCTTTTAGGTTATGCCATGTTGCTGATTTGCAGATCACACTGAGTAGCAAAGGTCCAGATGATCTCTATATCTCTTCCAGTTTAATCAAACATGGTTTTATTATATGTTCTTTCACAGGCAATCAGCTAAAAACTTTAAATTATAAGAATGAAGGTAAAGCAATGGCCAGAACCACTGTAGTAAATAAGAAAGATGTGTTCTTACCTACTACACATCAGTAGAATGGATCTAGCAATGATGTTTGACTTAGTGACTCAGTGAGTAAAGAGGGGCAGGAACAAATCTCAGTCCAAAAGATGTGACCAGAGAGAAGAGCAATGGAGAGATACCCAGAAATATCGAGAGAGGTAAAAGTGCTTAATGAAGCATCTACAAAAGGAGCAGGAAGATTGTTAGCCCTCTCTTAGCTCCCTCTGAATCTCCCTGACTTCATTTGGAGAGCGTACTGTCACTACGATCACTGACCCTCCTTCCCACATCACCCAGCTTCTCTAAAATACAAAGAAATGCAGTGGGCTTCAATGTGTACATTACAGTGAATTCAGAAAAGCAGCCCAGGTGCTGACTGACAGACATCCTGGTCCTTGGTTTAGGGCCAGGCACCAGGGGTAGAGGATCCACCTCAAGGTTTTTCTGAGAACTGGGGAGGAGGCAGAAAGGGTGGGAAGGACCCAGCAGGATGAGCACTCAGTGTGTCTTCAAAACCAGAAATCTTCCTTCATACATGTAGTCATTGGAAAATGACTTTAGTTTAATAACAATAATGATTTAGTAAACCATTTATGTTAAGAAAAATCTGTGAGGTAGATAGAGGCAGGCATTGTTAACCAATGTAAAACAAGAAGCCAAGATTAGGCAGATTAAGACCACCCAGTTAGTGTTGGATTAGAGCTCAGGTCTCTTCACTTTAGTCGGTGGAGTTCCCTTTACAGTGTGTGGATCTAGCACTATATGTATTTAACCATACTGGACTTTGACCTTTTTCTCATATTCCATTAACCCTACACACCAATTATGGGTATAGAATTACCAGGTGCTTTGTTTTGTTATTTAATAACAGGATGTTTTGGGAAATAAATAATCTGCCATATTGGTAAGAGTGATGACCATTGTTCGTTGCCAATGCCAGAACATTTCCCTTTTCTTCTTTGCTGACAAATTTTATTTTTCTTCCTCTAAGAGTCCATGTTCTTCAGCAGGGAGTGGGCTCTTTCCAGACTTAGGACACTGCATCTTGATTGGTCTGAGCTAATCAAGATGGTGTGTATCACTTGCTAAGTGATAGACAAGTTGAGATAAGGGCATGCGATGAAATTGTGGCCAATGAGAGGTGAGGGGAAGTTGCTTCTACTTTTAAAAAGGGATGTGTTACAAACATAGCACCTTTTATGTCTCTGGATTTTGTCTACACAGGTGATGCCTAGAACTGTGGCAGCATCTTGAAAGAGTGTGGGGATGACATTTGACACAATGAGGGTAATAGAGAAGAGAAATGAAAAGAACCTGGGTCCTTGATGATGTCACTGAGCCACTGAATCAACAAAACCCAGGGCTGCTCTTCCTTTGGATTTTTAGCTCAACTTTTTTTTATTTGCAGTCAAAAGCACCCCAGTGGATAGAGAGAGACTAAGAGTAGCTCAGTCCAAACTGGCATCAAATGACAAGGATTGGAATCTCAGCTATATCATCAACTAGCTTTGTTACTTTGGGCAAGTCACTTTCTCTACAAGAACCTTATTCCTTGTAAAAATGGAGATAATAAAATAACTATGTCATTAGGTATTAAACAGCTCTAATAAAAACTGTGAAAACACCTGAAAATTGCTGTTACTATCATTACTGTTATCTTTATTAATATTACATGATATGTAATCATGTTATAACAATCTGCAATGAAGATGTTGGAGTTTGTAGGAAAATCTCTGCATCCTGAGACATTTGTACCTTCCCTTTCTTCTAAGGGAACATGAGAAAAGCCAGGCTGATTACAATTTTGGGGTGGGGGAGTTTTTTAATAAAATATGAGAGCAACATCTCACGACAAGCAGAAGGCGCCTTATCAGACTGTTTTTGGAGAAAATGTTCCAGGAGAGTATTTCCAGCAATTTCAATGCATAACTGGGGCACAACACATACCAGGTAATTTTTCCCTCCACTTTCCTTTGCACTGAGAAGTGAAGAGCTCCACAGATAACAAGTGAAAGGTCATGACTCTGATGTATGGAAGAGAAATAAATCTGGGAGCCTGACTCAACTGTATTATGAGAATACTAGTTCCTCAAATAGAGTTTTGTAAAGACCCTTCTTCCATTCCATTGTTTTCATCCTCTCCCCACCCCCGACAAGACCACTTTTTAAGTAGCCTCCAAACACTGCAAGACTTGCATGGTTTACAGCTCTAGCCATTTTATCCCCCCTTTTGTTGCAAGAATGAGAGCCAGAGAAGATATACATTTTGTGTGTGTGTGTTAGAGACAGCCTCTTTTTACTGACTGAAAATAAGACTGAGTATGATGAGTATGTCACTTGGGAGGATATTCCCAGGGTGTTTGTTGTCTAAGCTCTGGAGAGGAGAAGCACTGGCCTTGGCCTGTATAATGAGAAGGAGGAGACTATGAAATGGTTGCTTGGCCTAGTTCCAGTCCAGAGCCCACTATTTTTTATGGAAGGTCAAGAAATGAGGAGCTGGGCCTATGGACATCTGCCTGGAGTGATATTTCTAAATTGGTCTTTCTCCTCTGGAGCTTCAGTTTCAAATTTAATTAGCTGGCTAATGATGGTAAATTATCATAATTAATTGATGAGTGCTAAAGTGCTTTGACTACAAAGCACTACATAATTTCTAGGGCAGTTAATTTCTGGTCTAACTTTGAGAACTATTCTAGGAGAGTAGGAAAGAGACTTTTATAATAATAATAATAATAATAATAATAATAATAATTTTTAATGATTTAGACCACTTAAAAAAGAATGGTTTAGACTATTAAAAAAAGAATGAAGCCTTCTCTTGGTTTGGAACACTGCCTTAGGGGAGCATCTCGTGTAGTGTCTCCTTCTGCCAGAAGCATTCCTGGAGGAAGAAGGCTTGTGAGAGATCTGTGAGTGTGCTTTGCAGTCCAGTGGATAAGACAGAAAACTGAATGAGCAGTTATTATCAGGGAAGATAAGTAGCTGAGGGAGGTAGATGTCCAGGGAGCTACAGAATTACAGGAGGGGGTCTGGGACATGTCCTGGTGGAGGTGAGAACTGATGGTGAAGGATGGATGAACAGAAGTTCTTCAGATAGATGTGGGGCAAGGAGAGTGGAAAAAGCCATCCTAGGGGAGAGAGTCACATAAAGATGTGTGTGTGAGAGAGAGAGAGGAGGGAGAGACTGAGAGAAAGAGAGAATGGTACATTTGAAGAAGCATAAGTGAGTGTGTTTGCAAGTGTAGCAAGTGACATAATTAAAAGGCCAAGGAGCTTTTATTTAAAGAAGATAATGCATTATATCTCTCCCTGCCAAAACTCTGTCAAAGGGATGATAATGGGATTTTTATGAATAAACTATAAGAACAAACAGAACAGGGAAAAATACAGAACAATAACAAAATTTTAGAAGCTAGGGAATATATGGAAGAGTGGCAATTGATTTAGCAGATTGGAGAAAGTGGAATTCTAATCTTAAATAAGCAGTGAGGAAAACCAAATAGGAAGATGATTTAAACCATAGATTTCCTCTCCCAAATCTCAGAAATCAGAGTTAATGGACACTCTGGAAGTAGAGGTAAAGGAGAAACCAAAACCAGAAAAATCATTTCAAATTATTTTAAAGAAAGAGTTGGACCCTCAAATAATTTCTCCATCTATATCAGAAGATGATTTCCCACTTCCAATCTTACAGAAAACAAGAGGGTTATTCTCTTGAGGGGTAAATTGATACCATATAGAGTTGAGTATGGGGATATCATATTAAAAATACAGTGAGTCAGTGAAAATTTACATACTCAGAGACGTGAACTCCAGTCTTCGATCTCCTATCAAACTCTCAAAATTTTGACAACTATATCTTTTCTTTTTGACAATTTTATCTTTATCTTTCAGGAGAGAGTTGGAAAGAGCCTTCTCTGAAAATGTGACCAAGTGAAAAAAAATGATTTAAGGGTACAGACATTGGGGACCTGGGTGGCTCAGTTGGTTAAGTGTCTGACTCCTTTTTTTTTTTTAAGTTTTGTTTATTTATTTATTTGAGATAAAAGGAGAGCAAGAGAGAGAGAGTGCATACCCATGAGGGGGGTGGGGGGGAGGGGCAGAGGGAGAGGGAGAAGCAGGCTCTCTACTGAGTAGGGAGCCCAGTGCAGGACTTGATCCCAGGATCCTGGGATCATGACCTGAGCAGAAGCAGCAGCTTAACCGACTGAGTCACCCAGGTGCCCCAAGCGTCCAACTCTTGATCTCAGCTCAGGTCTTGATCTCAGTGTCGTGAGCTTAAGCCCCGTATTGGGTCCCACACTAGGCATGAAGCCTACTTAAAAATAAATAAGAAAATAAATAAATAAATAAATAAATGTACTGACATCAGGTCCTCCATGGGGAGCCCAGTGAGATATCAATAATGAAGACCAAAGTCCATCTATAGGCACTTCCTTCAAGGAAGTAAAATTTGTAGGAAGTCTAATTTATTAAGGTTGTTTACATGTTTACACATTTAGAGGAGACTCTGAAGCTGAATTACAGATAAGTACACAGAAAAAATTAAGGGTATATCCATAGAAATCCAATCAAATAAACAAACAAATGAAAAACAACTACTAACCTTGGGAAAACAGAAAGTTGTGCCATAAAGGAAAAGTAATTATCATATATTACATAACTCAGTTATGAAATGTGTTTACATAGTTATAATAATATAAACACAGGATATTTATGCTACTAAAATTCTAAATTACAAATAGGATGGAGAGATGGAAAGTGTATGTTGGGAACAGGCATGTGTGAGAGAACACTCTTCATCTTCCAAAGTAGAAAATCAATAGGTTATGTCTAAAAACAGAAGAATCAGGAATTAATAATATAATGATGGTCTTTATCAAGATAGGCAAAGCAGAAGAGAAAATATGAAGGAACAATGGGTTTATTGTTGACGTGTGGCCTTTGAGGTAGCTGTGAAACAGCCAAGTGGAGATATCTCCTAGGCAGTTGGCTCTATGGGACCAGTGTCAACCAGCCTCAATAGGGTTCTTAAAGTGCATTAAGCCCCACAGGAAATGATCCAAGTGATTATTTTCTCAAATCTCCTCCAAGATGGGGTTGATAGGTACTCTTATTCTAGATACACAGGAGAGAAGTTAATTAATTATATATAATGGATGCCTAAGGGCACTAGGGCTTAATGTCCTTGTAGAGGCTAACTGAGAAGAACTGGGTCAATAGGGTAGGGAATGAAGATTTGGAGTCATTGTCAGAAGATTAGATGAAACTGGATGAGGGCCAAAGATAACTACTAGAGGACACTAACAGATTAGAGATGGGCAGAGCAAGAGGATACTGCAAGGAGGCTAAGAAGGAGCAACTAGAATAGTAATGAAAATCCCACGAGTATCCAGAAGCTACGAAGAAGAGATTTGAAGGAGCAGGTGCACGGTAGGTACCAAAAGCTGTGGAAAGATGATGTGAAATAAGGACAATAAGGAGGCTGTTGATTTTACCTACAAAGAAGTTGTCAGCAACCTTAGAATAGTTTTACTGGAGTAGCGGTATTCAGAAGCCAGACTGCAGTGTACTTGGGGCCCAGGAACTGGTCAGCTGAAACTAGTTATTTCTTAATGCCCACCTCTCTAACGCAAGCTAAAACTTTATTCATGCTCCAAGTCACCTCTCCTGGGAGGGAACTGTGTTTTCACCCAGGACACCACTTAGACACACAACATTGGGTTTTTACAATGACTTCATGAGAACATTTCTAGGGATTCATGGGCCCTGGCCAACCCTATTATTACATTCTTTAGATTAGTTATTTTTATGTTTTTTTAATGTGAAACCTTAAGTGAGATAAACTGCTGAAACTGACCAGGGAATAGTGTGTTGAATTATCTTGTCCTTCAAGTAATTTCTTAGCAGGAGCCAAGAACTTTTCACCTAGAAAAGTAAAAGCCTTCCTGTAATATGAATGGATGGTGTCGATTTGTCACTGGAACCTCTGGTGGTACAGCATTGCTGCTCCAAATATTTATCATTCATTCATTCAAATATTTACCACTATTCCAAGAGTTGTGGAGATAAAAACAAGGAGCAGATATGGATTGCACTCTCAAGAAGCTTGCAATAGAGTCAAAGGGATGATTCATGTGTTCCAGTAGCTCCAGAAACTTATTTTTATAGAGTCTTCTATCCAAATCAGTCATACATATGGAAATGGGGTCTCCTAGGAAGTGTGTGATTGTTCTGCCTTAATATTGCTCTTCATCTGACCTGAGTATGACCTCACTCTTTCCAGAGCTCTGTGGCTTGTGAACTCTTGACCTATAGGACTACTTCCAGATAGAATAGTTGGGCCACATATGTAAGGAGAGGGTGAAGATGAGGTTCCACCTGAAGCTTATGTTTGGAGTTTATGACAATTCTCCCTCCCCATAAAGGGATTATGAATTGGGGTTCATGAGGGAAATTATACTTGTGAACTCCTGAGTGCTCAAAGGAATGTATTAAAGTGTAAAGGAGGAGCCCCAACCCTTCTACCTGGAAGGTCAAGACGTTCTTGTGGCAGAGCTAGATCTGTGGCTATGAAATCACATGAGATTTATGACAATACCCAAATATCACTGCTCAGAGCCCATCCATCC